GTCTTCTCCCGAATCTTCAGCCACGAAGCCCTGGAGAGCTACCTTCCCAAGATCCAGATGGTCATCCAGGACACGCTGCGGGCTTGGAGCAGCAACCCGGACCCCATCAATGTCTACCAGGAGGCCCAGAAGCTCACCTTCCGCATGGCCATCCGGGTCCTGCTGGGCTTCCGCATCCCGGACGAAGAACTGGGCCACCTCTTTGAGGTCTACCAGCAGTTCGTGGAGAACGTGTTCTCTTTGCCTGTGGACCTGCCTTTCAGCGGCTACCGGAAGGTAAGAGGCAGCCCTATTTCACAATGCCAAAGAACCTGATTTGCTTCCAGGGGTCGGGGCCTTGGTCTCAAACATTTCTTGCAGCAGATGCTTGATTTGGGGACCAAACCTGGTTGAGAAGTAGTGATGCCATAGGGATGTCAAAGATGCATCACAGTTGCTTAGCCCTCTTCCACACAGCTGAATAAAATCCCACATTATCTGCTTTGAGCTTGAATATGTGGCAGTGTGGACTCAGATAACCCAGTTCAAAGCAGATATTGTGGACGATCTGCCTTGATATTCTGGGTTATATGGCTGTGTGAAAGGGATGGGACCTGGGAAGCCTAGTCGGATCCAAAGAGCCCCTTCCAGATGAAAATGGCAATACTGTTGCACCTCGGCTAGGGTTCACCTTGCTCAAGCACTCACCAAGAAGCCAAAAGTAGGAATAAACACTTTATTGAAAAAGCACACCCAGTAAAAGAGTAAAAAAAATCCAAATTGGTAAGATAGAAGGAGTCCCAAAAACCAGTGATAAATCTCTAATGCAAAGGTGAAAGCATGAACATAAATCCAAGGAGCAGTGAAAAATCATGAGCTTGAATAATCCAAAAGACAAGGAATAAAGCATCAACTTGAGTAATCCAAGAATCAAAGAACAATACATGAGCTTGAGTTCATGGTAAAATCCCCAAGACTTAAAGCAAAACTTGACCAGGATATGGCTTAAAGCGAGAACCAAGGCAAGAGTTCCGTGATCTATCTGCTACGTTCTGAAAACAAAAAGCTATTATTTCTCTAATTAAGGACAGCAAAGCATGAAGGCATTGCTTCGAACTTGAGTAGTCCCTCCCGGTCTCACTTTCCCATAGCCTGGCTCGCACCTGGAATTCTTCCCCCGCAGAAGCAGCCTTGATTCTCTATCTAAGCTACCTTCCTGCCTGTCAGCTTCTAAAACAGTTTCGTTTTCACACAGAGGATCACCAAAATCCCCCTCCATTCTCCCAACCGAGGATTCACCATCCTCTTCTATCATCCCCTCTGTCTGAGCATCTCCAGAAGCATCAGGCCTTGCAGGACCTGCACCCCCAAACCCCTCATCCTCACCATAGAATCCTAGAATCCTAAAGTTGGAAGAGACCTCATGGGCCATCCAGTCCAACCCCATTCTGCCAAGAAGCAGGAATATTGCATTTAAAATCATCCCTGACAGATGGCCATCCAGCCTCTGTTTAAAAGCTTCCAAAGAAGGAGCCTCCATCACACACCGGAGCAGAGAGTTCCACTGCTGAATGGCTCTCACAGTCAGGAAGTTCTTCCTCATGTTCAGATGGAATCTTCTCTCTTGTAGTTTGAAGCCATTGTTCCATTGCGTCCTAGTCTCCAGGGAACCGGAAAACAAGCTTGCTCCCTCCTCCCTGTGGCTTCCTCTCATATATTTATACATAGTTATCATATCTCCTCTCAGCCTTCTCTTTTCAGCCTAAACATGCCCAGCTCCTTAAGCCGCTCCTCATAGGGCTTGTTCTCCAGACCCTCGATCATTTTAGTCGCCCTCCTCTGGACACAATATTCCAGCTTGTCAATATCTCTCTTGAATTGTGGTGCCCAGAATTGGACACTATATTCCAGGTGTGGTCTAACCAAAGCAGAATAGAGCATGGGGAGCAGGACTTCCCCAGATGTAGACACCAGGCTCCTCTTGATGCACACCAAAATCCCATTGGCTTTTTTTGCTGCCACATCACATTGTTGGCTCATGTTTAACTTGTTGTCCACGAGGACTCCCAAGATCTTTTTCACACGTACTGCTCTTGAGCCAGCCCTCATCGTCCCCCATTTTGTATCTTTGCATTTCGTTTTTCCTGCCTAAGTGGAGTCTCTTGCATTTGTTTCTGTTGAACTTCATTTTGTTAGTTTTGGCCCATCACCTCTCTAATCTGTCAAGATCGTTTTGAGTCCTGCTCCTGTCCTCTGGAGTCTTGGCTCTCCCTCCCAATTTGGTGTCGTCTGCAAACTTGATGATCCTGCCTTCTAGCCCTTCATGAATGAAGATCCTGATCAGGACCGGGCCCAGGAGGGAACCCTACTTGTGGCCCTCAACTCGTCACTTCTTTCCAGGATGAAGAGGAGGAAGCCTTGGGGAGAATCACCCTCTGGTTTCTTCCATTTAACAATTCCAGATCCACCTCACCATAGTTTTGCACAGCCCACATTGGACTAGTTTCCTTGCCAGAAGGTCACCTTCAGCTGGCTGAGCTTCAACAAATAGTAAAGGGACCAAGGTTCTTTTTGGGCTTACCCAATGCAATACAATACAACACAATACAATGCAAACCCATGGGTCCACAACTGCTGGATGGCTCTCATTTCGAGCCACTGACAATGTCTTTTGCTCTTTCTATATTTGGGGTGCATCAGCCAGGGATGGTCCTACCAGAAAGGAACATCTGATAGAGAAGGAGAGCTGTTCTGTTGACTTTGCAATTTTGGGCATTGCTGCTTTGCAGAAAGCTATTCCATCTTTCTGAAATAATATATCTATATATTCCTTTTTCTCTCTTTTGCAGGGCATCCGCGCTCGAGAGGCGTTGCAGAAGGGCCTGGAGAAAGCCATCCGTGAAAAGCTGCAAAACACGCAAGGCAAGGACTACTCGGATGCCCTGGATATGCTTATCGAGAGTGGCAAAGAACACGGCAAGGAATTAACAATGCAGGAACTGAAGGTACGGGAGAACTGGCTCAGCGGAGGAGGCTTGAAGTTCCGTTCAGTACCACTAGGGGCACTAGACTAATTCTTGCATGCAAAGAAAACCCAATCAATGGCGCTTTCACTGTGGAATGAATGCTGGTTGACACCACTTAGAATCATAGAATCAAAGAGTTGGAAGAGACCTCATGGGCCATCCAGTCCAACCCACTGCCAAGAAGCAGGAATATTGCATTTAAAGCACCCCTGACAGATGGCCATCCAGCCTCTTTAACTGCCATGGCTCAATGCTATGGAATCCTAGAAGATGTAGCTTTGCAAGACCTTCAGCCTTCTCTGCCAAAGAGTGCTGGTACCTCACTAACTACAATTCCCATGAATCTTTTTGATTGAGCTTAACTAGAGTAGACCCATTGAATCCATTGCTGAGTCAACCCATAGGTTAAATCATTGATTGGGTCTGACCATGGCATTTCGGCCATTCAATCTAACATGAATTGGCAAATTAGAATTGTAGAGTTGGAGAAAATCACAAGAGCCATCCAGTCCAACCCCATATGGAATGTTATAATTATTTGGAGGGAAGCTGAAGGAATATGATCCAAGTAATGGAAGTTCTTGAAATCTACGCTTTGGAAGGGAAAGCAGGTTTAGATCCATGTTCCTGGACAGGTGGGCTCCATGGTATCTCTCACTGTCGTAACCTGTGGTCTTCCTTTCCTTTTAGGATGGTACCCTTGAGCTGATCTTTGCTGCCTACGCAACCACAGCCAGCGCCAGCACATCCCTGATCATGCAGCTCCTGAAGCACCCAGCTGTCCTAGAGAAGCTCCGGGAAGAGCTGCGGAGCAAGGGCATTCTCCACAACGGCTGCCTCTGTGAGGGCTCCCTCCAACTGGACACCATCAACAGCCTCCATTACCTGGACTGTGTCATCAAGGAGGTCTTGCGCCTCTTCACCCCAATCTCTGGCGGGTACCGGACCGTCCTGCAGACCTTTGAGCTGGACGTGAGTAAAAAGACCCACCTTCTGCCTCCTCCACACATTTTTCATTTGAGGAAGGGGGCCTAGAATGTGTTCTGATTTGGTTCCAGCACGTGGGGGGAAACTCAGAACTCAATGCCAGAGCACATGCATTGCATATGTGTTGACATTCATGTATTTCTGGGACTTATTGTGGAACAGGGATGGAAACCATGTGGTCCCCCAGATGGGAGTGGACTGCTACTTCCATCATTCCTACCCAGCTCAGATAGTGGTGAGGAAAACTGGAAGTTCTAGACCAACAACATCCATACAATTGCACACTCCCATCATAAAATCATAGGGATCCTAAGGTCCATGCAGCCCAGTGCCATCAGGGCAGAAAACCACAACTGAAGCACAGCTGGAGGAAGCCTATCCAAGACCTCCAAAGAAGGAGAGTCCACCATCCTTAGAAGCAGTCCATTCCACTATAGAGCAAGTCCTACCATGAAGAAGTTCTTCCTAAGCTTTGGATGGAATCTCTTTTCCTGGCATTTGAATCCTTGGCTGCATTGTGTCCTAGAGCCTCACCTGCTTAGTAGAACCTGACCTTCTCCACTGGCATGCCCTCCAAAACCCCAAGTAGATGCCAAAGTAGGGTTTGGTGGAGCTCCTTGTTACCACTAAACCATAATGTTTGTTGCTGTTAACTTGCATCAAGTCTTTGACTTATGGTGACCCTATGAATGAGAACCTAGGGTTTGGTGGAGCTCCTTGTTACCACTAAACCATAACGTTTGTTATTGTTGTTAGCTTGAACTAAGTCTTTGACTTATGGTAAACCTATGAACGAGAACCCTGCAAGTCACCCACAACCCAGCTCAGGTCTTCCAAAATCAGGGCAGCCATGGTTGGTTACATCCATTTATCTAAAATTGAGTCTTCATTCTCTTTTCCCGCTGCCTCCCACCTTTTCAAGTATTCTTGTATTTAGGTATTTGAACTACAAGAAAGGAGATTCCATCTGAACTTTAGGAAGAACTTCCTGACTGTGAGAGCTGTTCAGCAGTGGAACTCTCTGCCCCGGAGTGTGGTGGAGGCTCCTTCTTTGGAAGCTTTTAAACAGAGGCTGGATGGCCATCTGTCGGGGGTGCTTTGAATGCAATATTCCTGCTTCTTGGCAGAATGGGGTTGGACTGGATGGCCCAGGAGGTCTCTTCCAACTCTATGACTGTATGATTCTAGATCATGTCTTCTCATGATGCGTCCAAAGCACGACCATTTCAGTTTAGTCCTCTTGACTTCTATGGAGAGTTGAAGTGGCCCATGAGGTCTCTTCCAACTCTAGGATTCTATGATTCTAGGTCGTGTCTTCTCATGATGCGTCCAAAGCATGACCATTTCAGTTTAGTCCTCTTGACTTCTTTGGAGAGTTGAAGTTCAATTATATGCCTTCAAGTCATTTCTGACTTATAGTCCTCTTGACTTCTATGGAGAGTTGGAGTTCAATTATGTGCCTTCAAGTCATTTTTGACTTATGGTGTCCAAACAACGAACCTATCACAAGTTTTTCTGGGGCTGAGAGTGTGTGACTTGCTCAACATCTCCGAATAGGCTTCCATGGCTGAAGGAAGACTCCTTCCTTTGCCTTGCAGAACTCTCTTCCAGACCCAGCCTTGCTTTTCTTCTTATCCATTTCCTTCACTCTTGCAACCACATGTTGAAATTGGAAACACCGCATCCTCGGACAGTTCTGACTTTGGCTTTTAAAGATACCAAGCACAAGAGTGCCAAATTTGGAGGCTTTTAAGCAGAGGCTGGATGGCCATCTGTCAGGGGTGATTTGAATGCAATATTCCTGCTTCTTGGCAGAATGGGGTTGGACTGGATGGCCCCGAGGTCTCTTCCAACTCTTTGATTCTATGATTCTATGAAATTCTCCATTTCTTATATGGCATCACCGGCCCAGAAGACTCCCTAAAAGAAGGAGTGTTGGGAAGAGCCGTTCTCCATGTCAACATTTTGGGGTGTGGGTCTTGTTGACAACCCGTAACAAATGGTTGCAGGCAGGAAATCTGAAGAAGGATGAGAGGCGGGAAGGTTAGGCCCAGATGTCTGGACGACGAGGGGATTACTCACGATGAGCAGATGGAAGATTCGGCTCATGGAGTAGGATCGGGCGGCGCAGCTTGGCTCCATCCTTGTGCCGTGGGCTCATATCCTTTTGAACAGGATCAGTGAGTGAGAGATGCTCCGTCGCAAAGGCCGATCTCTTTCTCTTTCTTAGAACACCCCCTCTTTGCCCCCAAACCGTGGTTCACCGCTTTGCCGCGCATGAGAACCAGGCTGTTGCCGCCCAACCTCTTGATCCTCGTTCAGGAAAGATGAACGATTGAGTGAGAGAACGCAACAAAAGACTTTCTCGCTCGGTCATCCTCATGGCGTCAAGTCTCCATCCTGTTGCCCTTTCGTTCTGCAACATGTTGGCCTCTCGTGCGCCAAAGCCGTGACTCACATTCCGAATGCAAAGGCCAAGCTCTCTCTTGCGCTTTCTGTCCCCTCTTTGCACCTCCAGTCCATTGCCACTCTTGAAGAGCATGCCGTTGCCGCCCATCCTCTTGATCCAGGTTCAGGAAAGATGAACAAACGACTGAGTAATCGAACGTAACCAAAGACTTACTCATTCAGGCATCTGTATGGCATAAGCTCCCCATCCCCGTTGCCTTTTCATGTCACAGCATTTTGGCCCCTCATGTGCAGAAGCTGTGACTCACATGCCAATTGCAAAGGCTGGTCCCTTGCTCTTTATTTCTCTGCCTAGAGGTGTCCCCCTTTTTGTACCCCAAACATGGTTCGCCACATTGCCACGCACAAACATCATGCCTTGGAGACGCCGTTGCCGCCCATCCTCTTGATCCACGTTCAGGAAAGATGAATGACTGAGTAACCAAAGACTTACTCATTGAGTCATCTGTATGGCATAAGGTCCCCATCCCCATTGCCTTTTCATTTCACAGCATTTTGGCCCCTCATGTGCAGAAGCTGTGACTCACATGCCAATTGCAAAGGCCGGTCCCTCGCTCTTTATTTCTCTGCCTAGAGATGTCCCCTTTTTGTACCCCAAGTGTGGTTTGCCACATTGCCACGCACAAACATGGCTTGGAGATGCCGTTGCCACCTATTCTGGACAACAAGTTAAACATGAGCCAACAATGTGATGTGGCGGCAAAAAAAGCCAATGGGATTTTGGCCTGCATCAAGAGGAGCATAGTGTCTAGATCTAGGGGAGTCATGCTCCCCATGCTCTATTTCGCTTTGGTTAGACCACACCTGGAATATTGTGTCCAATTCTGGGCACCACAATTCAAGAGATATTGAGAAGCTGGAATGTGTCCAGAGGAGGGTGACTAAAATGATCAAGGGTCTGGAGGACAAGCCCTATGAGGAGCGGCTTAAGGAGCTGGGCATGTTTAGCCTGAAGAAGAGAAGGCTGAGAGGAGATATGTTAGTTATGTATAAATATGTGAGAGGAAGCCTTTTATACATAATAATGTATAAATATATGAGAGGAAGCCTTTTCTGCTTCCTTGCAGACTAGGATGCAATGGAGCAATGGCTTCAAACTACAAGAGAGGAGATTCCATCTGAACATGAGGAAGAAGTTCCCTAGAGCCATTCAGCAGTGGAACTCTCTGCCCCGGAGTGTGGTGGAGGCACCTTCTTTGGAGGCTTTTAAACAGAGGCTGGATGGCCATCTGTCAGGGGTGATTTGAATGCTTCTTGGCAGAATGGGGTTGGACTGGATGGCCCACGAGATCCCTTCCATTCTATGATGGTATGACTCTTATGACTTGTAGTTCTTTTGCTGCAGGAACACAGACTGCATTATCATCAACATATTGGAGTTCTAGAACAGATGTTGTACTTCCTCTGCTGAAAGTGCACAGACGACGTTATCAGCGTATTGGAGTTCTAGAACAGATGTTGTACTTCTGGTGAAAGTGCACCGATGACATTATCATCAGCATATTGGAGTTCTAGAACAGATGTTGTACTTTCTCTGCTGAAAGTGCACAGACGACGTTATCATCAGCGTATTGGAATTCTAGAACAGATGTTGTGCTTCTTCTACTGAAAGTGCACAGAGGACGTTATCATCAGCGTATTGGAGTTCTATAACAGGTCTCTTCCAACTCTAGGATTCTAGGATTCTATGCAGGAAAAGAGAAGAGTCCCGGGAGTCCCCTTTCCAGGGAAGGGTTGTACTTGTACCCAATCTCCATTGCCCCTTCCTCTCTCTTTCTTACTGGGAGCCATGGCCTTTCTTCCAAAACCTTCCCAGCAGTGACAACCTCCAGTCTTTGGCGACCCCTCTGACACCCCCTCACGACCCCCCCAGTGGTCCCAACCCCAAAGGGTGAGAAACGCTGCTCTTGATCCTCATTCAGGAAAGATGAATGACTTGCGTGCAAGAATGCAACCAAGCACTTTGCTGACTTGGTCATCTTTTTGGCGAAAGGTCTCCATCCCCATGACTCTTCGTTGGCCCCAATATGTCATTTGCCGCAGCCGTGACTCACATGCCGGCCCAACCTGCTCCTCCGATGTTTTCGCAGAAGGCTGGATCACAGAACAGAGTCGGGCCCTAGGCTCTGTCTGGATCCAAAGCGGCATCGCCACACATATTGGAAAACCCACAAAACCCGAGTGTTTGGGATCTGCGGCAGCCTTCTTGCCGCGTCGCCGGGCACGCTTGAAACTGGCACCCGCTCTTGTTCAGTAAAACGACACCCGAGCGGCAGCTGATCCGTCTGCCCTGCCGGGAAGCTTTGGCCTTTGGAAGCATCGAGGAGCCAGTTCTTAACCTGACACTTTATTTTTCTTCATGTCTACGGCATTTGGAGTTTCGTTTTCGGCTGGAGCCAAGGCTGGCAAAAGGGGGCTCCGTATTTGGCCGAGGTCCTGGCAAGGCCTGCGTGGCATGCACAGATGTGCTCGCTGTGTGCGTATTGCACTCCTCCTCCCTTTCTATCAACCTGACTTTGCCGTCTTGATCTCCTATTTCCTAATTAGGACCACATTGCAGATGTTTAGCTGCCACCCTTCACTTTGGGCGTGGAGAGAGGGTCCTGTCGCTGTCAACACAAAGAGTTGGAGGAGACCCCAAGGGCCATCCAGTCCAGCCTCATTCTGCCAGGCAGGAAGATGTAGGGAAAGCACTCTCAAAAGAATCCTAGAATCCTAGAGTTGGAAGAGACCTCATGGGCCATCCAGTCCAACCCTATTCTGCCAAGAAGCAAGAAAATCCGTTCAAAGCACCCTCAACAGATGGCCAGCCAGCCTCTGCTTAAAAGCCTCCAAAGAAGGAGCCTCCACCACACTCTGGAGCAGAGAGTTCCACTGCTGAACAGCCCTCTCTCACACACAGTTAGAACGTTCTTCCTCATGTTGAAGGTGGAATCTCCTTCCTTTCCTGTAGTTTGAAGCCATTGTTCCATTGTATTGTCGAAGGCTTTCATGGCCGGAATCACTGGGTTGTTGTAGGTTTTTTTGGGCTATATAGCCATGGTCTAGAGGCATTCTCTCCTGACGTTTCGCCTGCATCTATGGCAAGCATCCTCAGAGGTAGTGAGGTCTGTTGGAACTAGGCAAAAGGGTTTATATATCTGTGGAATGACCCGGGTGGGACAAAGGACTCTTGTCTGCTGGAGCTAGGTGGGAATGTTTCAACTGACCACCTTAGAATCATAGAATCATAGGATCAAAGAGTTGGAAGAGACCTCATGGGCCATCCAGTCCAACCCCATTCTGCCAAGAAGCAGGAATATTGCATTCAAATCACCCCTGACAGATGGCCATCCAGCCTCTGTTTAAAAGCTTCCAAAGATGGAGCCTTCACCACACACAGGGGCAGAGAGTTCCACTGCTGAATGGCTCTCACAGTCAGGAATTTCTTCCTCATGTTAGGCCGGTAGGCTGTTAGGAATTGTGGGAGTTGAAGTCCAAAACACCTGAAGGGTCCAAGTTAGCCTATGCCTGGGCAGAATTGTGAGAAATGTAGTTCAGGATGGAGCTTTTGGAATTCTCAGTGAGAGAGGTCCTCAGCTTCCCTAAACTACATTTCCCAGGACTCTATAGATTGGCAGACAACTGTTAGGAATTGTGGGAGTTGAAGTGCAAAACACCCGGAGGGCCCAAGTTTGCTCATGCCTGGACAGAATACTGAGAAACGTAGTTCAGGGTGGAGCCTTTGGAATTGTCAGTGAGAGAGGTCCTCAGCTTCCCTAAACTACATTTCCAAGAACTCTATAGATTGGCAGACGACTGTTAGGAATTGTGGGAGTTGAAGTCCAAAACACCCGGAGGGCCCAAGTTGGCCCATACCTGGGCAGAATTGTGAGAAATGTAGTTCAGGGTAGAGCCTTTGGAATTCTCAGTGAGAGAGGTCTTCAGCTTCCCCAAATTACATTTATCAGATCTCTATAGATTGGCAGACGACTGTTAGGAATTGCGGGAGTTGAAGTCCAAAACACCTGGAGGGCCGAAGTTGGCCCATGCCTAGGCAGAATTGTGAGAAAAGTAGTTCAGGGTGAAGCCTTTGGAATTCTCAGTGAGAGAGGTCCTCAGCTTCCCTAAACTACATTTCCAAGATCTCTATAGATTGGCAGACTACTGTTAGGAATTGTGGGAGTTGAAGTCCAAAACACCTGGAGGGCCCAAGTTGGCAAATGCCTGGGCAGAATTGTGAGAAACGTAGTTCAGGGTGGAGCCTTTGGAATTCTCAGTGAGAGAGGTCCTCAGCTTCCCTAAACTACATTTCGTACACTAGGACTGTGTAAAATTATCGTTAGTCCTCGTAAATCGGATCAGATTTGTTAAATTTGTACTTATGAGGCAATATCCGACACGTGAGCATGGCCTGCACAAAAAATCTTAAGAATCAAAATTTACCCAATACCTTTTTCATTTGCATTTTATAAACCTCGGAAGCCTCCCATGCTCAGTTTCATGTTCAGTGCAAGGAAGCAAAGCAAAGCCAAAAAGGCTGCCTTTCCTCTTTAAGTGAATGGCACCTTGCCATGAGGAGAGGGAAGCAGCAGGGAGGAAGCAGAGTTTGCTGGGAAAGAGACTGAGAGAGCACAGAACTCTGGGAAATGTAGTTTGGGAAGCCGAGAAGCCTTTTAGCAGTGAATGCAAAAGGCCTTGCCCTGAACTACATTTCCCACAATTCTGCTCAGCATCAGTTTCATGTTCGGTGCAAGGAAGCAAAGCAAAGTCAAAAAGGCTGCCTTTCCTCTTTAAGTGAATGGCACCTTGCCATGAAGAGAGGAAAGCAGCAGGGAGCAAGCAGAGTTTGCTGGGAAAGAGACTGAGAAAGCACAGAACTCTGGGAAATGTAGTTTGGGAAGGTGAGGAGCCCTATAGCAGAGAATGCAAAAGGCCCTGCCCTGAACTACATTTCCCACAATTCTGCTCAGCATCAGGAAGCCCCAACAGGAGAGGGGAGAGATGTGTCCCTCCGTTGCAGCCGTCGCAGAGTTCCAATGAATGGTTGGATCTGCAAAGAGAAGAACGGATTGTTACACTCATAACAATGACGACAGCAACAACACTTTATTTATATTCCGCCCTTCTCCCCAAGTGGAATCAGAGTGGATTACGGCATATAAACAGACACAGGCAATCATTCAATGCCATGTTATAATGAAATACAATGAGACACATATACACAGACAAAGGCAAAGGCTTCTCCTTTCATTTCTGGCTCTGGAGGTGGTGCTCTTCGTCGGCTCTGGGGGAGGTGCTCATCTCCCTTTCCAAGCTAAGGAGCCTGCATTGTCTGTAGACTCCTCCTAGTTGTGTGGCCGGCATGACTGTGTGGAGTGTCCTTTTGCCTTCCCACTGAGGAGGTACTTATTGATCTACTCATATTTGCATGTTTTCAAACTGCTAGGTTAGCAGGAGCTGGAGCTAACAGTGGGAGCTCACTCTGTTTCATGGATTTGAACTGCCGACCTTCAGGTCAGCAGTTCAGCAGCACAAGGGTGTAACCCATTGCGCCACTGCAACCTCCAACCAACGATACTTTGGAAACACTTTAGAGACGAAACACTGGCACTCCCAATAATGGGTTTTGAAACATTTTTTGGCTTGCACAGCCTTACTGTACCCCTTCTGGAACGGCAGCCTTTGACCTTTTCTCTTTTCCTTCTCTCTCCTTGCAGGGCTTCCAGATCCCCAAGGGCTGGAGCGTCATGTACAGCATCCGCGACACGCACGACACGGCCCCGGTCTTCAAGGACGTGGATGCCTTTGACCCGGACCGCTTTGGGAAGGAGCGCTGCGAGGACCGGGACGGGCGCTTCCACTACCTCCCCTTTGGCGGAGGGGTCAGGACCTGCCTGGGCAAGCACTTGGCCAAGCTCTTCCTCAAGGCCCTGGCCATCGAGCTGGCTAGCATGAGCCGCTTCGAGCTGGCCACCCGGACCTTCCCTCGCATCACGCTGGTGCCGGTGGTGCACCCGGTCGGCGGGCTCAAGGTCAAGTTCTTCGGACTCGACTCGAACCAGAACGAGATCTTGACCGAGACGGAAACCATGCTGGGGGCCACTGTGTGAGCCGCGTCTCCCGTTGGCTCCCCTCCCTTGGCCGCCCCCAAACGGAACAGGGCCCAAAACAGCTGCCGGACCGAGCCTCCGAGACACCTTTTCCCGCGGGACGTCTTTGGGCAAAGCCTTCTCGGACAGAGATGCCAAAACTGAGGTGGCATTTGAGCGCCAGGGAGGGAGGGAGGGGTAAAGGACCTCGGGCCATCTCCACTTTTCCTTTCCTGGGTGCAGAACGGAGAGGAGCCGTCTTCACCGCAGAACGGAAACAGTATATAAGCAACTCTGAAATGGAAGGATTTCTGCTGCAAGGAGGACCTTGCACAACACCCCTGTGAGGCCTGGCTTCTCTCTTCTCTCTGTCCTCTGTCCGGCCACGACTTCGAAAGCAACAGTGTTATTTTAGCCAGCGAGCTACAAGAGTGTTAGGGAAATAATAATAGCGATAGAAATAATGGTTTCCGAACAAATTGTGTCTCTGACAAGGGGATGCAGTTCATAGACTCATAGAATCAATAACAATCGAATGTTAATCAATAACAATTTATTAAGCGGGATTAGCAAACGAATCGACATAATCCTAGGATCTTAGAGCTGGAGGGGACCCCCAAGGGCCATCTAGTCTCACCCCATTCTGCCATAAAGGGAGGCACGATCAAAGTCGCTCCATATTTAAACCTGGCTCTTGCGTCCTTATGCTGCTCCTCGGAGGGATTTGTAGTTCCCGGACCTTTGACCATGTTGGTCACCCTTCGTATTCTGCCTTCTTTAGCCACTCAAGAAGGGGTTTCCAAGGCGGATTTCTGTTGCCATCGTCCTAAAGTGAGCGGCGGTGTTCCAACCTGCCACGCCTCAATGCAATGGGATCCTGGGAGTTGTAGTTTTGGGGAGGTGTGGAGGAAGAAGCCTGTCACCATCACGACCCGCAGCTTTTATTTATTTGTGTCGTTCCTAGATTGCAATGCCTGGCCCGCTCTTCACAGAGCAAAGGAGAGGAATCTCAGGACGAGAGAGCTGTCTTGAAAAACGGATAGACTTTGGTGTTTTCGGATAGACTCCGGCTACATCTCCGCTGCAGAATCAATGCAAGTGCGACCTCCCTTTGAGCCATCCTGGGAGTTGTAGTTTGGGGAGGCCCCAGCCCTCTTTGGCAGAGAAGGCCAAAGACCTTGTAGAACTACAACTCCCAGGACTCTGTAGTTCAAGTGGTTTGAAACTGCATTAATTCCGCAGCGTAGATGCCCCTTCAGACCGGTAATGCAGGGAGACGCGTAAGGGACGTACACCTATCACCTTTTTACATACATATATAAATATTAAAGCCTATGTATCTATCTATATATATCTGTATCCATGTGTATATTGTATCTAGGCAAGGATCGCCCGTGTTTGATTTCCCATGCCCAACTAATATAACTTGACTATATGTGTTTGTGTATATATATGTATGTATGTATATGTATGTATATATATATGTAAACTATATATGTATATGTTTGCATGTGCTGAATTAATGCAGTTTGAGCCCACTTGGACTGCTAGGTTGTCCTGGGATTTGCAATCTTTGCAAAACTACAACTTCCAGGGATAGAATCCTAGAATCAAAGAGTTGGAAGAGACCTCCTGGGCCATCATCCAGTCCAACCCCATTCTGCCAAGAAGCAGGAATATTGCATTCAAATCACCCCTGACAGATGGCCATCCAGCCTCTGTTTAAAAGCTTCCAAAGAAGGAGCCTCCACAACACTCCGGGGCAGAGAGTTCCACTGCTGAACGGCTCTCACAGTCAGGAAGTTCTTCCTCATGTTCAGGTGGAATCTCCTCTCTTGTAGTTTGAAGCCATTGTTTCGCGTCCTAGTCTCCATGGAAGCAGTAAACAAGCTTCCTCCTTCCTCCCTGTGACTTCCTCTCACATATTTATACATGGCTATCATGTCTCCTCTCACCCTTCTCTTCTTCAGGCTAAACATGCCCAGCTCCTTAAGCCGCTCCTCATAGGGATTGTTCTCCAGACCCTTGATCTGCTCCCTCCTCCCCGTGACTTCCTCTCACATATTTATACATGGCCCTCATCATATCTCCTCTCACCCTTCTCTTCTTCAGGCTAAACATGCCCGGCTCCTTAAGCCGCTCCTCATAGGGATTGTTCTCCAGACCCTTGATCATTTTAGTCGCCCTCCTCTGGACACATTCCAGCTTCATAACATTAAGCTGTTGCAGTTCAAGTGGCACCAAACTGCATTCATTCTGCAGTGTAGATGTACAATATGTGTGTGTGTGTGTGTGTATACGCACCCACGCGTACATATACATATATACATTTACATATATATATATATTTATATGGATAATGTTACTGCATTGGGTTTGCAGGATAAAGCACTTTCGAGACTCAGATTATTATGTGTTCGTCTTGTGTTTCCTTTATTTTTTGTACTTTAATTTCCTAGCACAGATTCAATTTGCTCTATTATTTTGTACACAAACGTGGTGTGTGTGCGTGTGCGTATGTGCGTGCGTGCGTGCGTGTGTTTGGTCTGAGTTCATAAACTATTATTATTATTGTTATTATTATTATTATTGTTATTATTATTATTATAATGATAAGTACTATTTTTGTTATAATTCCAAATAGATATTTAGTATTAAAAGTGTTGTCGTTATTATTATTATTATTTTTAAAATAAATAAAAATTATTTGTTATTTAGTAAAATATGAACTACGTATTCCCAGCCCTGGATCCCTCTTTCCTCACCTCTTCTCCCTTTACTGTTTCCTTAATTGTCAAACTTGGTTCGCGTCTACACTTTGGAATTAATGTGGTTCGATGACACTTCAAGTCCTTTGGATGAATGCTATTGGATCCTGGGATTTGTAGTTTGCAACGTAGGCCTTGCAAAACTACAACTCCCAGGATTCCGTTGCAAAAAAAGGCATTGGGGTTGAAATTGGTATCAAAGTGCATTAAATCTATGGTGTAGACCATTAATGCAGTTTGATGACACTTCAAGCCTTTGGATCAATGCTATCGGATCCTGGGATTTGTAGTTTGCAACCTAGGCCTTGCAAAACTACAACTCCCAGGGTTCCGTTGCAAAAAAAGGCATTGGGGTTGAAATTGGTATCAAAGTGCATTAAATCTATGGTGTAGACCATTAATGCAGTTTGATGACACTTCAAGCCTTTGGATCAATGCTATCGGATCCTGGGATTTGTAGTTTGCAACCTAGGCCTTGCAAAACTACAACTCCCAGGGTTCCGTTGCAAAAAAAGTCATGGGAGTTGAAACTGGTATCAAACTGGATTAATTCCATGGTGTAGACCAGGCATGGGCAAACTGTGGTTTTCCTCCAGTTGTTTTGGACTGCAACTCCCACAATTCCTAACAGCCGGTAGGCTGTTAGGAATTGTGGGAGTTGTAGTCCAAAACAAATGGAGGAAAACCAAAGTTTGCCCATGCTTAGTGTAGGGAGGAAAGCAAAATATGGTTAATACAGAATAGTCGGCAAGTCTTCTGCGCAAATTGATTTCAATTCAATTATCGATGTGTCATTTTCAATATGGAAAAAAAGGCAGTTGCGACTGTTGGGTGGAGGTATATTTTCGTGCCATGTGAAGATGTGTTTCGTGTCATGTGAGGTTCGAGATATATACATATATATATATATATATATATATATATATATATATATATAGTATTTGCAGAAATGGGGGTCAGGGTTCCGTTTGCCATTCGTGGAAAGGAGCACCGGTTGGTTGTGCAGCCACATGACGCTGTGCACTTGTGGGTTTCAGTGGGAGCCGTGCCGAAGCAAAAGACAAAAACCACCCCGGAAAGAGCGGCGAGCGGTGTCCGTGATATGAGATAATGTGTCGTGTATTTTGTGGTCTTATTAAACGAAAAAGGGAAAAAAAATAAGTAATCAATGTGGCTATTTTATAGACTTCCATAATAAAAAAAGAATGTCAAATCTCTCCAATAGTATTATTATTATTATTATTATTATTATTATTATTATTATTATTATTATTTGAAACACAACAAGATGAGTCCACAGCAGACACTCTGCTGGCTGTTGAATTGGATCATACATCGGAAGTCAGCCATAGCAGAGCACCTGAGGAGCCAACCAGGACACAGCATATTATGTGAGAACACGGCAATGTTGGGCCACTCTCACAATCTCCATGTCAGACTACACAGAGAAGCCATTGAAATACACAAGCATATAGACAATTTCAACAGAAAGGAAGAAACCATGAAAATGAACAAAATCTGGCTACCAGTATTAAAAAACTGCAAAATTACAACAGCAAAACAACAGAGAGGAAACAATCTAATCACCTCTCAACAAAAGATTGCCCCAGCCACTGCCAAGCCATCAAATGCTAATCAAGGTGGTCAGTTGAAACATTCTCACCTAGGTTGTTGTAGGTTTTATCGGGGTATATGGCCATGGTCTAGAGCAGTGGTTCTCAACCTGGGGTCCCCAGATGTTTTTGGCCTTCAACTCCCAGAAATCCTAACAGCTGGTAAACTGGCTGGGATTTCTGGGAGTTGTAGGCCAAAAACATCTGGGGACCCCAGGTTGAGAACCACTGGTCTAGAGGCATTCTCTCCTGACATTTCGCCTGCATCTATGGCAAGCATCCTCAGAGGTAGTGAGGTCTGACTGTGAGAGCCGTTCAGCAGTGGAACTCTCTGCCCCGGAGTGTGTTGGAGGCTCCTTCTTTGGAAGCTTTTAAGCAGAGGCTGGATGGCCATCTCTCAGGGGTGATTTGAATGCAATATTCCTGCTTCCTGAACTCCACCAACAATGGAATTGAATCAAACTTGGCACACAGAACTCCCATGACCAAGAGGAAAATACTGGAAGGGTTTGGTGGGCATTGACCTTGAGTTTTGGGAGTTATAGTTCACGTACATCCAGAGAGCACTGTGGATTCAAACAATGATGGATCTGGACCAAACTTGGCATGCATTCTCAAAATGCCCAAATATAAACACTAGTGGGGTTTGGGGAAAATAGACCTTGACATTTGGGAGTTGTAGTTGTTGGGTTTTATAGTTCATCTACAATCAAAGAGCATTCTGAACCCTGCCAACGACTGAATTGGGTCAATAGAATCATAGAATCAAAGAGTTGGAAGAGACCTCATGGGCCATCCAGTCCAACCCCCTGCCGAGAAGCAGGAATATTGCATTCAAATCACCCCTGACAGATGGCCATCCAGCCTCTGTTTAAAAGCTTCCAAAGAAGGAGCCTCCACCACACTCGGGGCAGAGAGTTCCACTGCTGAACGGCTCTCACAGTCAGGAAGTTCTTCCTCATGTTCAGATGGAATCTCCTCTCTTGTAGTTTGAAGCCATTGTTCCGCGTCCTAGTCTCCAAGGAAGCAGAAAACAAGCTTGCTCCCTCCTCCCTGTGGCTTCCTCTCACATATTTATACATTGCTATCATATCTCCTCTCAGCCTTCTCTTCTTCAGGCTAAACATGCCCAGCTCCTTAAGCCGCTCCTCATAGGGATATTCAATATTCCTGCTTCTTGGCAGGATGGGGTTGGACTGGATGGCCCAGGAGGTCTCTTCCAACTCTTTGATTCTATGATTCTAATGTAAAACAGGCATGGGCCAACTCCGGCCCGCCTGTTGTTTTGGACCTCAACTCACACAATTCCTGACAGCTAAAGTGGTGCCAAAGTGTCTCAATTTTGCTGTGTAGATGCACCCTGTGTGGGCACACACTGAGCCTTGGGAATGGATTGTGCCAACAATGTTGTCTTCTAGAAGTCGGTCCCATGGAGGGATGCTGGGCTCTGCGTTGGAGAGGGAAGGCCCTTCTTCTGCCGAGGCCGGGGGTCTTTCTCCTGGGGGCCCCTTTGTGTGTCCCCCACCCCCTCGGAGGCCAGGGCAAGGGCTGCTCCTTCCTTTGCGGCCTCCTCCGAAAGGCTGCTGCTGCGGTTTGGCCGTGCCGGGTCCCCGCTTGGCCCTCCCTCCGAACGGATTCCAGGACTCCTGTGTCGGAAGCCCTTTTGCACAAACTTGTTCTTGTTCGAAGGCAAAGAAAACTCCAGAGGAATTAATGAAGTGCTTTTATGGCTCGCTGGAAAATGTGAGCCTGCTCTCATCCAGAAGAGGGAAGCGCATCCCCCCCCCCCACCGCTCCCCCTCTTTCCTCTCGGAGGCCCACTTCTCTCTCGGCCCACAAACACACACATACTATAGTATTATAATGCAGTAAGAACTTGCCGAGCTGGGCCCCAGGTGGCCCCCCAAATGGCACCTTGCTTCCCTCATGCGTCCATTGAATCCAATGTGGAGCCCCCTTTCCCCGGCCCCTTTCCCCCCCATCGATTTCCCCCTTCCTCCTTGTCATTCCTTTTGGCTGCAATTTCCATCTTTTTGGGAAAGCGTCAGAGGGAGAGAGAGCAGCCAAAGGGCCTCCAACAGAAGCTGGCGGCTTTTATGGGCCGGTCTCTGGGGGGCTTTCCATATGGCTTGGGGTCTCGGAGCATACTTTCCATCCCGGGCCGGAGTCTCACGTTACTCGCGTTTGTTTTAACTTTCGCTGAACTCCTGGAAAGTTTCTTGCCTTTCAAGTGGGCCGCTGCTGACCCCGCTTTGCTTTGCGCATTGGAAAGAGTGGGGAGGGGGGCGGGTGGGTGGGTGGGTTGCACATGCGTGTGCAGACGTGTCTCTGGGGGGGCCTCCAAAAATAGAAAGGGGGCCAAAGGAGGGGGGCAGGTTTGTTTGGCGGGTGTTCTGGACTTCATTTGCAGCTCACAAACAGGCATTATGACCCCGGCTCCTGAGAGCCACTTTGGATGGGATTTGGCCGCCGGCCTCCAGCTACTTCTTCTGTTCAGGCGGAGACCAAATCCCGGCCGTTTCAACAAGCTGTTTACATGATGAAGTCACTCCTTCTCCCAGGTCTCTTTTGGGGAGGGTTTCAAGGCACCAACTCCTCTCTTTCCTGCTCTCAGAGAATCCTAATAAAGTCGGAAGAGACCCCAAGGGACACCTAGTCCAACCCCCTGCCATGCAGAAAACAGACCAACAAAGCACCCCTGACAGGTGTCCATCCGGCTTCTGCTTCAAAACCTCCAGAGAAGAAAGGAGACTCCATTGGACTCCCAGGGTTGCCTGGGAGTCCAATGGAGTCTCCTTTCTTCAATGGAGTCAGTGGGCCAAAGGTCCTGAGGAGTGTGAGGTAAACCTCTGTGTGAGAGAAGCCTCGTGTGAGAAAGCTCCAGTGTGAAGGCTGCTGCTATTTGAACCCATGACTCTGTTGTGTCCAGAGCACCAGAGAAAAGCACTGAAAGAGTGAGTAGGCCAAATCCTGTTAGAGTCACTGGTCCAAAGCTAGTGTTGTCCTGAGGATTTTGAGGTAAATCTCTGTGTGAGAAAGCTCCAGTGTGAAGGCTGCTGCTATTTGAACCCATGACTCTGTTGTGTCCAGAGCATCAGAGAAAAGCACTGAAAGAGTGAGTAGGCCGAAGCCTGTTAGTCACTGGGACAAAGCTAGTGTCAGCCTGAGGACTTTGAGGTAAACCTCTGTGTGAGAAAGCTCCAGTGTGAAGGCTGGTGCTATTTGAACCCATGACTCTGTTGTGTCCAGAGCATCAGAGAAAAGCACTGAAAGAGTGAG